GCAATGATGCGCCAGAAGACTTTGGTGGACCTCGACTGTTTAATATTAAATTGACCCAAAAGTACTAGATATATTTTGATAAGCCCATTCAAGAGCATTGAGGCTCCGCATACGTAAAAGCGTAGAAAAAAGTTTGTTTACCATATAGTGGGTGTTTCTTAATTCGTTGCTAGGCTCTGGCACTCAAAGTTCCATGTAAACCAGATAACGGTTTGTGCAGGAATGTTTTATTTGCAAATGTTTTTTTGCGAGCGAACAGCATGCCTAACTGTCCGCAACCCTCTTATCTAATAGATTTACTATGTCCTTGAGACTTGACGTGACCTACCCATTCTGGAGAATCAAGAGGCATGAAGAGTCCTTAAATTATGTATACCTCTATTGCCGTATATCGAACGTTGACGCTGTGCTTGACGACATCTATTTCATCTACAGGAGAAATATCAGCCCCAGCTTGTGTTAGGGATTAGGATAAGGTCAACTAAAGAGTAAGCCGTTACCCTGATCACCTGACTATTTCGAATATTAAATCAGCCAGTACTCGAGTCAGATAGCTGACGGGGTGCATATAGCTTGCCGTTACTTTGTCGCGTCGCGTACCCTTGACAATAATGCTACTGCTTCTGCAAGAAATATGCATTCTTTTCTCCTCTTAGGGGAAGATATTCAGCTAACTGCTCTTTCGAACGCTATTCATGATCCAAACATGTAGGGGGCTAAAGATTTGGCAACGAAGTTACTCAGTATGTTAATATTGAGTATATTTTCTTTTCGGATAGCGTTTCAACTTCTGCTACCAGACCCCTGATATGAAGTCATATTTTGGTTGTATACGAAGACGTTGATGAGTCTGCACTTTCCTCACGGCAAACGTGTCGCAGCTGGCGAACATTCAATTCGGCCTTTAAGCAGTCTTGAACGCAATCGCCAATTGGTTAAGCGAAACGTGTTTTATACGATTTCGACATTGCCTTTGTTAAATAACTTATATTTTGTAGTTTATCTCGATTTGGAGGCATCGTTCAGATACGGTTTCATCGAGTTTAATCCAGCTAGTCATTCATTTCGCCACAGTCTGCCGTGACGAGTTCTCTAAAATACGTAAGTCATTTAACAATGAACTTCACTCGATTTTAAGCTCTTTGTTTCAAAAGATCCAAGTCTCCATACCAAGCTATTCAAGCATTATATATATGGATCCTTTCATGACATACGCAGTTTCCGTACGGTATTCGAAATTGAAAAACGACACTGAAAAACGTACAGAAGCTGTACGTGCATAGGCAGAATGCTCTGCCTTCAAATATCAATGTAGAAACAACATCAGTTCTCACTAGATTCAACATCGTTGGCGGACAGATGACGTCGTCGTCTTAGCAAGCGTCTTCTGGAAAGTCTGGAAAAAGCAGTGTTCGACGCCATCGAGAGACTACCGGATCCTAATATTTCATAAAAGTGTATCGACAAAAAACGCTGTGTAGATGTATTCCTATGCAAAATCTCGCGTGCGCTGCGCAAATCACTGTAACAAAATTTTGGAATATTCGCGCCATAAGTAGAAATTGTGTCTATAAGCAATAAATAAAAGTAAGTTTATTACAATAGACGCTCGTAACGTGCATAAAACGGCAAAAAAAAGGGAATAACGTGGTTCTTGAAAATCAGACAGACATAGGCGCCAATCTTCCGATGTGGCCATTATGGCGTAACAAGTGAAGCTAGTCGTGCGTGTTGAATCCCGTGGAGTTTGAACGGATGAACGAAATAGAACTCCGCGAGAAAAGCGTTTGTTGTTTGTTTGTTTGTTAGTTATCAACTTTACACTGTTGAAACGATTAAAAAAGCCGACTCCTTAAAAATAATTTGAATTAGAAAATCGGCCCTCGCAGGGGCCTCCAAGACTGCAGTAACACCTCTACAAGCACACTAGCATGGCGGCGTCCCGTTTTGCTAGTTCTATTCTTGGTGGCTGAAACATATTTTTAGATGCAGGTCGCCCCTGTTTGATTAGCAGGTACATCTAACATACGCATTAAATGTACAGCTTGCACGCTGATTGAGTTATTAAAGGGCATAGGATATATTAAAAAAGAAATGCATAGGCACGCAATCGGACGTCGTAAACCTAGTATTCTATATGACCTCTTATTAATTGATCGACTTGAAAAAAAGTATACGGAGATAAAAGACACAGCTTTTGCGGACTTAAATGCCGCTTAGACTATTCTTAATAATCGGTGGAACTGTACAGTATGGGGCTGAAGTTAAACATGAAGTTTGCGTGTTCTGCTGATGCCCGAACTTTGTTTTGAACAAGAAAAACCTCGCGTAAGAACACCAAAGTCTAACAGCGGATATAGATAACCTTAACGCATCTAAATTGTTCAGATCGACTTGTTAAGTAATCCATTGGGAACTGAATGGGTGAACTGGCGCACATTTCATATCTCAAACAATTCGAAAACGATGGCCGTAAACAGCAGAAACGAGCATAAGCTCATTAACTCTAAAGCTCTGTTTGGTTCTCTCCTGTGGGGCACAAGTTTGTTTTAATTAAACTCGATAAATGAATAGAAACTATACTTATGATAACTGAAGGGAAACAATCGAGTGAGCGACTGGGCTTTAGGTATCGTTACACATGTGGTCTTCTGGGAATATTAGGGAACTATGGTGCTACAGCCCTGCCTACCCTCGAGTAAAAGCAATGATTTTGAAGCCAGCCGGTTTGCTGTTGCTGCTGTTTATAATCACTTCCGTTTTTGGCCGTTATCTCGTACGTTGAATGACACCGAGTTTCTTTTGACGCTGAGAGGGGTAAAAGAGAAAAAGAAGAAGACGACTAGGAAAGTTCCATCTTAGCTGGTCCAAAGCGTATATGATACACAATCTTTCCTCACCTCGTTATAAGGTGGCGAAAACCCAGTTATTTATACTGTCGTGTAGTCCTAATGTAAGTGCTCCGACTTAACACTTTGGCGGATCTCTTAATTGCTTAAGGCAGTCACCGTCACTGTATGTGAATTGCGCGCTTCATATTCTTTAGTTCTTAGAACAAATTACAATGACGCTGTCAGACAAAAAAAATAGAAAAAGCTGATGTTCTTATCAGAAATCCAAGTAAAATTACGAATCATTAAATATTAGTTCTCTTAAAAGATTGTGTTTTCTTGAATTCATATATGTACCTAATGTTATTCTCTAAGGCTGCACGGTCTTGTTACGAAAAAAAATCCGATTTATTTTAGTTTTTTAGCCAAGGTGACCGCTTGACACCGGTCGCAGCAGAAATTTGTGTTCAAAACCAGCTAACTGGTGCCAGACTTTAGCACTCTGCTTATTATCATACGGCGACATTTCCCTGAAATCGTCCACTCATGAAATGAACGCCGTGACAAATGCGGCCCATGGTGGAGCCATTCCACCGTACGGCGGGAAGTTAGTAATTTGAGCCCTGACGTAGCACGTGCCTACGAGGATCTGGTAAAGATAAAGTTCCATAGTTTATCATCCACGAGAACTTAGAGAATAGACCAACGTAATTCATTTTGAGGGTTGGTACGGTATGTAGATGATTAGTTTTTCTTTAGATAATATTTGGTCTTAGGCAAACATTGATAAAAAGCGAAAAAAAAGAAAAAAACGAAGAGTCTTATTAAATTTACCCTATAATTTTTTCAATTTCCCTTGTTCTCGATCGAAAGATTGAGAGCCTTTATTAACAGCCTAAGGTTTCGGTGCACACCTTTCACCCACAGTGAAAGATTTTGGCTCGCGTCATAGTTACGTCACACTCTGTTCACGCTATTGAGGCAATTAGCAGAGAATAGATAGCTCAGTATATGTCATTTATCCTTACCTTGTGAGATTCGATTACCAATCGGAACATGGAATTATCCCCCTGACATGATGCGTTACAACATCCATTGGTAGGGACGAAAGAATCTTGATACGGCTCTCTTTACGATTTAGCGTTCGTCTGCTGCCTGTAAATAGGTTACAGAACTTGATCTAAACTTGCTTTTTGCGCATTTTACCGTTGAGATTACTTTTCACAGGAGTGAAAATAGCCGACTTTATTCAAATAATGCTACAACGAATCCAATTAAAATCGAATATTAAGTATATAATAACTTAATAAATAACTAAAAATCGAATAACCAACAATGATGACATTTTCGAGCCACAAGGAGCACGTTTATGATACGTGGTGAATGAAGTGAGAGAAATATTGGATCGTTAGAAAACGTGAACGAAGTGTGCATTATAACAATACCTCAGTTCTGTTATTGAAACCCGCCTGGCCATACGAACGTACGTGATTTTCAGTTAAACAGTTTGAGTTATCGATAAATCAGCAAAAAAACTACATCGGCTTATTTAACTAAGTTATGGAGCACTAGTGCTATACATGTGTCTATATTAATAAAAGGTAATTGCGATAGAGTTAGAAGAAGTTCAAGAGTTTGTTTTACGGCAAAAAAAATGTCTAAAGGAGATTACCACGATGGCTACCATAGGCCCACGTGTCTTCATGAGTTTCTAGCAGAGGCAACTATAACACCTAGAATAAAAATATTTAATGAATTTTTAGATCCCGTTAAAAAATTGATCACAACGCAGTCATCAAACACGCGAGACTACGGTGCTTCAATAATGTCACTTACATGAAAGAATCTGCGTCACTTTAAATAACCTCCTGCGAAGTCTTCTACTGAATTGCGTCAATGTAAAAACATCAGCCGATAAGCACTTGGAATCTCGTTGCTAGCACTCTGCTGACCTATAATTCATGCGTCACTTTAACTGTTTTTTCAACAGTCGAACAGGAAGATGGTTAGCGAAATAATTTAAATATTTTTTTTTCTAAACAGCTTTGTGATGGGGTGTTCCCACCTGCAAGACTCTGAGCGAGATACATATCTAGTTTGAATTACGTTGAGGCGTGATGCACGCTACGTATACCAGGAGTATTCTAACAACGAAGCACTGCTTTTTAATCAATCTCGGTCAGGTCTGAAAACACATAATATGTTTAAGATATTCAACTGCTTTTATTCAGTCAGCCTTAGATGTGACCAGAATGGATTAGTATTGGACATTTGTGCAGTGAACAAGTGTAATGCCTTCAGGCTCGAAGTGTACACGGCCTATTTGGATTCGGTTGATTCAAGTCCGGAATGGACAAGTATTATTAGGGTACGTTTGAAGTTACACTCTTTTCTTTCTGTGAAAATAACCTGAACTTGCATAGAATGTACAGGCTAACTTTCAGCACTTCATGGAAATATAGCCCGCTTAAGCTGAAACAGTGTGTACAGGGTGGAAGCTTTCCGCACAACGTTATGAAATGATATCAATGTTTTATTAATACAGTATATTATACAGTACGGTACAAACAATAGTCGCTAGGCACAGTAGTTCCATGTTACAATATAGTACAAACAACCTTATTTGATTCATCGATGATGAAGTTTACAGATAGTTGTCCATGAAAGCGTATTATTCAGCCTTTCAGTTCAGGCGGCCTTTAGCGCCCGTATCGCCTCCTCCCGAGAGTGACATGTTGTGACCTATGAAATTCTGAAATCCGTCTTCGAATACGATTCAGATATATAGGCAGAAGAGATAAGCTGGTTCCATCTACGCTGCAACGAAAAGCAACGCTATTAAATTATGCACTCGTTCAATAAGATCTTTTTTCGTTGCCGCAGTAAAATTTACCATTATACGTGTACGTTTTTCATGTTGCCAAAAATAAAGCTCGACCAGCTCGGAATATCTATTGCGAAACTAATGTTTATCATACAATCTATCATAGCTAAGGTTGGCCGACTTTAGGAGTGAATCCACTATATTTGAGTTTCGTAGTTAGACGGATAGCCTAAATGAATAGAAATTTCAGTCCGAAAGGCAACTATTAAACAAAGTTGGCTAAAGACCCCCTATCTAACACTAACCCACGTTCTTATCCATACTACTCGGGGCCCAAAAACGCTTCCTAAGCATGATGCGAGAAGAATGTATCTTTTCTGATTACTTGTAAGGTAAGCATCTTTTCAGAATAATAATGCCTCTTTATTAGAAAAATGCCAACACGCGCCTTAGATGGAATAGGAACAGGCGCGTTAAGCTTGTAAATTAATACAAAACAGTTATCAAAGAAGTTATATTATATGCCAAGTACTGTTTTTTCGGCTGTTATAGTTGCCCTGGGATGTGTGCAATGGCCTACGCTGAGTGCATGTCTTCTTCGCTGTGTTGCCGACGGTATTTTCAACAATTTAGGTTATACTGAATCGGACATATGAAACAAGGACAACTGACATCATACAAACCTTGTCGATAAGTTTCTCTGCGGGTCTTAAAGGGCATAATATAAGAACTCGTATATCTATATTAAAATAACGAGCAGAGAAATTTTCCTTGCAGAACAAAGTGGAACTGATTATTATTGGCCTTTTAAAAAGTAGAATTTCTAAACAGCAGGGTATAGGCTTCGTATGGCCTCAGAGGATCCCAGAGGATGCACGAAAGGACAGCGCGGTTTTTTTTTAAGCACCGTGAGAGATTAGTGCAGGTCGTTTCTATTTAAGAAGTGACGGGGAGGAGTTGTGGGCAATTTTCGGTGAGGTTTAAATCTTTGAAGCGGTTTCAAAAAAAATACGTTCACCGAGTACCCCTCGACCTGCTGGGTAACGATGTAAGCACTGCGGAACGGCCTAAAAAGATAGTTTAAAAACGTCTGCACGTAATGGCGATATGTTGATTACACAGATAGTATATATACGATAAAGACATGAAAAAGTTTGCAATCTTATGCTGCTTGCTTGTCTTCTTCGATGTGATTTATATAACGAGAGATTGCTCGAAAGCACCGTACTCCTTAGTAGCTTCTCTCATTTAGCTACAACATAAGACGACACAAAAGGTATTTGTGACAGAAAAGACAACGTTTTGAGCAGTCCAAGGACCCTGCACAATGACATCAGTAGCCCCTAGCAACCGGATAACTCACGGACTATCTTTGTATTTCAATTCTAATACTAACGCTCAGAATCCTCAGTAAAACAAAAAAATTCGTTGAAAAACTCAGGTTTTCAAGTTGAGATGTTTCAGTCTTAACAGGACGATGTTCAAGTTAGTGGAACGAAAAAAAGGTCCTTTTTTCCATACATTAGTGATATTTTTCTTCTGACTATTGAATCTCTATGAAAAAACAAAAGATCTTTCCGAGAACAATTTTTTATAGTACATTTATAAAGCGATTACTAGAAGTTACAACAGAGGCGGCATCTGTTTCCATCTCTGGCAAGTTCTAGCCATAGTGTATTAGTTTGCAAAAAATCTCGCTGGATCCTTTTGTTTCGAGCTGGTCTTGTATACGACCTCAGTCAGCCGGAAATCGCGCCAAATGTGCCGTGGAAAATTGAGCGATGAGCTGTGATAAGGAATCCTATTTTCAATGTTTAGAGGAAATCCACTTTTACACCGAATCTGAGTGGTCATAGCATTTTGTTAACCACCTGAAATAAAAGGTGATGCATACCTTTAACCACCGCATAATTAGATGGTCGATTGCATCCTTTTCCTCAAAAATTTTCAGGCTGACCAGGTTTTATAATTTTCGGTATATGCTAGCGAAGAAGTTGAAGACATTTTATTTTTCTTCAAATCCTAAATCTTGCCTTCTTTAAAGATAAGAAGATA